TCCTATCTCTAACTCTGATAGACCCTTCTTGTGCCTTTTTTGTAGACAGCTAAATTAGAAATATTATAGGCAGTCAGACAGGGCTGGGCCCTCAGAGAAGTCAATGCAGAAGAACACATCACAATCATGGCTGGAGGCACATTAGGTGAAGGCCAGGCTTCAAGACAAAGATAATTGACTATACCTACATATTTCCCTAGGGCTGACCAGAAGTCATATTCTAAATAGGCATCTATCACCTTGGGTGAGGAAGCAAAACCTCGCTACCCACTGCTTTCCCCAAAAGTCCTTGTTCAGTCCGTGTATGTTAACTTGCTTCCCCATTTGATCCCTGTTTAATCAATATTACATAAACGACAACACTTGTAACGATCTTATTGGTTGGCCAATACCTCAGCAACCATATTTGTCAGAGGTAATACTGCTTAGGTAATATTGATCCAATGGAAAATGACAAGGTGACAAAACTATGATCAACCAATAAGATTATGACAAATATAGTTGCTCAGGTAATACTGATTAGATGGGGATCCATTGGGGAAGCAAGTGGGTGTGGTAGTTTCTTTACAATGCTGGACTTCAGTGACTGTGTCTTGGCTGTCCTCCATGTTGGCCCTTCCAGGCAGGCACTAACTGCCTACAAGATAACAAATTAACTCATCTACAATAAATGGACCACCCTTTTGGGATTTCCCACATGGATAGACTGTTATTTCTCTATCGGGGGGGCCTTCCTCTCCCATCCACTAGACAAGACTAAGATTATAGATTATTAAATTTCACAGATTCAGTCATGGTGGCACAGACCCATAATCCCAGCACTCAGGAGGCTGATACAGGAGGATCACCAAGAGTTCAAGGACAGCCTAAACTCCATAGCAAATTTTAAAAAATAAAAATAAGTAAATAAATTCCAGACTCCCACCACCCAAAAGATCCCCCACTTTCCATTTGTATTGTGCCCCATTTCTCCAAGCGCTCACTCTGCTTTTATGTGTCCTGTACCTCTACCACTAATAAATCCTTCTCGGGCATCTTAAAACAAAATGATAGAGTACGCTAACATTTCCACCTCACCTTCCCCTTTCCTTTCTCTTTCCGTTTCCCAATGTCAGGTATGTTTTTACAAAATTATTCTAATCATGTAACTGAATGGTGTGTACTTTACATACAGGTTGGAAAACATTTATAATGTAAATTCAGTAATTAGATCCACTGATTCCAAAACACTTATAGTATAAGTAGCTTCACTGTGAATTGAGTAATTAGACGTGAAAAATTTTTGTCTGGAAAAAAAGAAAATTTCAAGTGTCTGAAGCTCTTGATTTCTAACTTTTTCATATTTAGCAGGGTATATATTCTTGTTCCCATGCTGTACTTTTTCTTACACACTGTAATTTGAAGTTTTTTTCTTTACATAAAAGGTATGTGTGAGGCTGGATTTGGTCATGAAATGGTTAACGAATATGGACTATAATTTTTTTTCAGTAACAGAGATCAAACTCAGGACCTTGTGCTTGCAAGGCAGGCACTGCACCATTGAACTATATCCCGGCCTGGTTAATGAATATGTTGTTTAATTCCAAGCCATAGTTAAAACCACAGCTCTCAGCAGAAGATACAGGTGGTGCTGGCTTCTCCTGCCTGACACAGGCAGTGCTGTTTTCAAACAGATAAAACACAGGACAGAATGTTACACGCTGTAGAGAAGACCATAAAACCATCAAGTACAGCATCATTTTCCTACCTTGACTGCTGCATGGACCCCTACACATGACAGGCATGACAGAACCCTCTCTCAATCCCCTATAAAACCTCTGCTTTTTGTCTGTCTGACACTGACAGCCAATTGATGCCCTCAATCTGCACCCAGGTCAGTAAGTTCCGTGCCTCCCTGCCTTTCACTAACCTGCTCAGGTGGTCTCAACCCTCTGCCATTTGTCACAGTACACGGTGGTAATTCTGAATTCTTGCATTTTTAAAATGCCTTATCTCAATCCTGTATTAATAGTCTACCTATATGTTTAGTTACAGGTTCAAGAGCATTTTCCTTCAGACCTTTGAGATTATTACTCATTCACTTCATTACCTGGTAGTTTTTCAGATGTTAGTCATAAAATATTAGTAGAGAAACCTCTTTTGACATTTCTTCCAAAATGGTGCTCATTACTCTGCAACTCCTCCAGTAACAACTGGGCATAGTGTGGGCTGTGTACTCAATCATCAGTACCATAAACACAAACAATTCTACAAGTCAAGTCGCTTTTCTAAGCCAGGTGTATACAGTTCCTCTCCCACTCTCACTCAACCTATCTGCGTTCCTATCACCCTTCTGTAATGATTTACTTCTTGATGCAGTTGGACGTTGGGAGAGAAGAGAATCTTTTGACTTCACCTACAACAGGAGACCATCTCACCATTTCACTGGCACTTACCAGAAACTCTTATAAAAGTTTACATCAGAAATAAGCCCAATACTTTATTTACACATATGCAAAAAAAAAAAATTCAATTCTAGAAAGACTAAGTATTTTGATCTATTCCCATTCACCCCATTATTTTGTAGACATAGCCAGGGGAGATTTTCACCAAAAATAGGTGTAAATGAGTATGCATTTGTTCTCTCTCCAAATAGAAATAGCTGAATCATTAGTCAACTCTCAGAACCTGACACCACTAACTACTAATGCTGGTCTAAAGTGCAAAATGATTATTAGCCTGTCAGAATGATTTGGCCTTTAACTTAATAATTTGACTTCTGCTCGTAAATACTGTTTTATCTTTGAGATACAATTTAGTAATATTTTAATAATGACTTTTTCTTGGGAGAATAAAGGAGTTTTATTTAAATTATACTCTCATAATTTGCTTGCTCAGGATTATAATAGATATGACTTCTGAAGAAACAAGGCTTATTCAAGCAGCTAGAGCAGTAACAAAAAGAAAAGCATGTTGATGAAATACTACAGGCTAAAAAAAACACAATGGGCTCTGACAAGATTTTTTCCAGTCTCAGCTTGTCCATAGCTAATGGAACAAGTATCAGCATAATACACACTGTCATCCTTATTTTAAGTAGATCCAAATATCCTAATGATGTGAATTTTCAGTGTTCGTTCAGTATTTGTCAAACTTTTACTGTGGCACACCTGAATATTGTTAAGGGTACTTGGCAAAAATGGTTCCACAGCCTAGGTTTGGCAAACAGCACTGGTACTCTACCAGATAATCACAACATAAATTAGCGTTCTGAAAGCACTAAGAAGCTTATTATCTTAAGTATGTTCAGACTTACACAACAAAATACCATGATCTGGGTGGCTTATATAAAAAATGTTCAGTTCTCACAGTTCTGGAGGCTGAGAAGTCCCAGATGATGCCCTCAGCAGATTTGCTGGGCCAGCTTCCTGGTTCAGACAGCTGTCTCTTTACTCTAACCTCACTGCATGGAAAGGGCCAGCATTCTCTGGCCTCTTATAAAGGCACCAATCCTACTCCAAGGCTTGCCCTATGACCTGATCACCACCCACAGGCCATAATGATATCTCCTTGGGAGTAATGATCTCAACATATGAATTTTGGAGGGACATAAAAATTCAGACCATATACCCAATTATAAAGAAACATACCATTATCTAACAAGGTTCAAATATTACCACAGGTTTCACAAATTTACTTGAACATTTTTTTTCCACGTCCTATAAATATCCTATAGTGCACCATTCTGAAGAACCAACTGTTTACCACATAGATGGAATCATAACTAACTCTACTAAAACGTCTTGACAAAAATTTATCCACAAATGTTTTCTTTTGTGGGGCTGTTTTTGAGACAGGGTCTCACTACAGGCTGGTCTTGAACTCACTAGCCCAGAATGGCCTGGAACTCAGTGATGCTCCTGCCTCAGCCTCCCAAGTGCTCGGATTACAGGGGTGTGCCACCAGGCCCAGCCACAAATGTTTTCAATATAAATTTTCCACATAGTAATGTCACTAAGAGCACTTAATTTTGCTATCACCCTATTTTAAACCTGCTGCAATCATGCACACCCCCAACCACCAGCTAGAAAATGTCTTGTCAAGGTCATTTTCCCATCTATTTTACTAAAAAAGAAAAAAAAATGTGCCTACCACATGCTGATAGTATTTAACTCAAGGCATACACAACCTAGTTGAAGACAAGTAGACAAATCCTAATGAGAGATTACTATTCTACTTGGGGTGGGGGGGACTTTCATTTGTGTGGGAGGTATAGGTCAGCTATTTTATTGGTCATTTCTTCAAATGTAGGTTCCCCACTGCTTTTACATTCAAGCTGTACAAATAAAATTACTCAGAAAACATGTTCACACATATACCCTAAAGATTAAATCTGTTTGTTATTTAATTATATCTTAAATTTATGACTCAGGAGAAACAGAAGTTAAGCAGGCCTTGGAAATAAAAGGACACATGCTAATATGAAAGTAATGCAACCTTAACATGTTCACGACAGGGCCATACATGCATAACTGTCCAATCAAGCAGCTTGTACCACTCAATGGGATAGTCAAGCACATACCTGCAGTTTCATTGTCTTAACAATCCACAAATTAAAGGCTGGGGATATAGCTCAGTAGCATTTGTCTAATGTGCATGAGATCCTGGATTCAATCCTCAACAATGAAAAAGGACAAAAATTTCTCAAATTAAAGTTGATTAAGAATTTTCAGCTTTATGGAAAGTCTGTTTTCCCAACCAGGCCTAAATAGGAAAGAACTGGGGACAGAATCCTTGCTCTGGAAATGTAGTTAATAAAGTCTTCCAGCTACCAAAATTTGTGAAAGGGAGGAATATAGGACATCAACAGAAACAAATGACAGTAAGGCAAAATTCTATCAAACTAGAAAAAGTTAACCTTATGAGAAATATAGCTTACAATCAGCATATGACCTATTACATATATCCTCTATGCCTCCAGATTTGCATAATAAAATTTTAACAAAATGACAACAGACTTATCAGCTTGTAAATACTTGTATTTCTCTCACTCACACACAATGCTGTATGAGATATCACTAGTCTTAATATGTACCCATAGGATTAATACTCGTATGGAGTATAATGTGGAAAGTGCAGAACTAAAGAAAATAAGTTTTATCTGAAAACAAAAGCACACAGTTCTTAGGATTTAAAAATATTGCACATAATAAGGTTGCACAAAAATTACTGGCTGGTTTTACAAACAGAATGAGGTATTAGTCAATCTCTAGATAAAGATAAATGCAAAGAGGAGAAATTATACATACACACATAAATACACATAAATTCAATAATAGAACCAACAACTAAGACAGTAATGTGAAAAGATGTGTTAAGTAGCTATGATTTCAACTCTATAAAGTCAATCATTAGCCAGGGACTACACACATAACATCTTGGTAATATTTTTAAGTTTTCTTTTTTCAATTTAGTTGATCAAACAGCAATACCATCATTTCCTGTACCCAATTTTGTGTCAAGACAAGGTTCTATGGTAAATATCAAACTATCCTTTCTAAAGCTTTCAGTGGCAAGTACCACTGAATGCTCTCCTTGCTGACTCAATTACAAGTCACAAATGCTAGAGCATGCAATTTTAAATTATCAAAGGTTTCACTGCAAAAATCATTCAAGTTCACATAAAGTTTAATCTATATATCAAGCAAAGTCAATCTTTTTTTCTGGTGGTAATGAAACTGGCCACATTGGTGAGCCTAAGAACACATGGAGGGGGGAAAAAAAAAATCCATCAGTGTAGTATCTTTTTTTAAAGAATCTTTCCTAATCAAGAAAATTAATAGATTTTTGTCTAACTAGCTGAATGTTGGTTTGTCAAAAAAATTTAAATATATAATAGTAATATCAAATTTCTGAGTTAAATCATGCACTTGTCAAAATATTTCAGAGAAAACTTTTCCATCAAAGATACTAAGAATCAACCAGGTGGGTTTAACAAGAAAAAGAACTATTGTCCTGAACAATCAGTGTACGTAGTGACCATATTTCCTCTTCGCTGAGTGACAGTCCTGCAGTGCTTGCCAGATCCATGAAATCTATTTTCAGTCTGTACTGTGTGTCGATTGGTGGTATCAAAGCCACTAAAAGAAAACATTTTCTCCATATCTTCAAACATGTCATCAAACAATCCACCTCCAAAAGAAAACTCCTGGAAATGATGCCTCTGTCTACTAGAACCATCTTGCCGTGTCTGGAAGTGATTTTCAAAATGCTTCTTAGATCGAGTATTTTGGTTTTGACCAAAAAAACTAAAGTCTTTAAATAAGTCATCAAAATTGAAATTAAAGGACTGCTCAAAAGAACTTCCGCTACCTCTTTGTCCTTTACCATTAGTGAAAGCACTGTGTCCAAGTGTATCATATTCTTTTCGCCTACTAGCATCTGAGAGTGTTTCATATGCTGAAAGAAATAAAAATATTTTAGTAATTAAAAGTAAAGTATTCAAAATTACATATATTCAAACCTCTTAAAACACTTGACTTCATTCAATTCTATATTTTAGGAAAGGATTTCATGAAAGTAAAAAAAAACATTACAAAATTCTAAAACAAGGCAAGGACTTCATCTTATTCACTGCTGTATTATCAGTAGTTAGCACAATGATACCTTTAGTAAATACCCAGTAAGTGTATGTTAAATGAATGTGACCATTATCACAAATACACAAATAATTCAGAGTTCTTTATCCTTCATAGTATTTGTGTGAAACTATTACCTGTATTAAAGAACTAAATGGTCAAACACGGTATCATCAATTAAAAGGAATTAAGATTTTTTACTACTTGAAGTAAATGTTTAATTCCAACTCCTTTGTCAATTTCCACCACCTACCATTAATTATGCTCAGGAGGTGCACTTCATTTAAGAACTACAGTAGTAGTTTTAAGTCTGAATGTATTTCACACTCTCACTTTAAGGCATATTTGAGGTTTGAAATATGTAACAAACGAATAAGAAATTGTACAATCTATTTTCATTTTTTTATATTTATTTAGTAAGTTTTGTAATTGGTAAAACTTTTGGTACCTAAATTCCTTTTTACATAGAAACAAGTTATTTCATTAACAACAATGAAATCACGTATTTTTAACATTTTTAGATCTGTTCATTCCTTCAAGAAACAAGAAAATAACTTTAAAATATCACTGTAAGTTAAATTCCCCACCTTCCCAGCCATAAAACCAGTCAGTCTCCTGACTAGTAATACTCATGAGACCTCAGAAAGTCATTTATTTACCTTCTGCAATCTCCCTGAATTTTGCTTCAGCATCAGGGCTCTTGTTTTTGTCAGGGTGATACTTCATGGCCAATTTGTGAAAGGCCTTCTTGATTTGGCGCTCTGATGCTGATTTTGGCACACCTAAGATATCATAGTAACTTTTTGAGGCCAGAATTAATTCTGTTATCATTAAAATGCAGATTGCAAAGATGAAGACTGACTGAGGAGTAGCCATTTCTAAAACCCTAAAAAAACAAAGAAAAAAGTTTACATATGGAGTTAAGACTTTTTTCTTTTAAAAGAAACCTAATAAACCTTAAGGATATGAAGTTTAAAAACAAAAACAAATAAACAAACAAAAAAACAGTAACAGCCCAGCAAGGTTGCACATGCCTGTAATCCAGCATTGGGGGGCAGGAGGATTAGCACCCAGAGGCTAGCCTGGGGTACATAGTTAAGAAGTTCAAGATCAGCCTGAAATATATAGTGAGAACCTGTCTCAAAAAGCAAAAGAAAAGAAAAAACTCACAGTAATAAAATGTTAAGCATATAATAATTTGTAAATATTCTACTGTACTGTCAGTGTTTGCATTTAGCACTTGTAATTAAGCTTTTTCAACTGAAATCTGGTTTAGCTGCTGAAATTAAAACTGAATTGGCTCTTTCTCAGAGAAGGAAGATTTCTATAATTTAGACATCTTGGGCTATTAAAATAATGCATTCTTTTTTCTCAGCAAAGCTAAATTTATCACCCTCACCTAGTTTTGTTTTGTTTATTGTCTTTGTTTTTTGTTGTTGTTGTTTTTTTTTCGGTTTAGAGATAGGGTCTCACTTTGCAGCCCAGGCTGGGCTTGAACTCTGCACAATTCTCCTGCTTGCAAACAGACTCCTGAGTGCTGGTCTGACATTTATGCATTGCCATACCCAGCTACTGAACGTGAATTATTTTTGGTACCGGGGATCGAACTCAGGTTCTTGTGCTTGCAAGGCAGGTGACAGAACCACTGAGCTAAATCCCCGGCCCCCACTGAACATGAATTCTTAAAAGAAGTATTTTTTAAAAAGAAAAAATATTATACTCAAAATGTTATTTGGATTTCCCTTTTCAACTGTGCTTGCTTATGAAAGAGTCTTCAATTATGTCTAAAACCAGTTATTGAAAATTTGCCCAAAGTAATAAGTAGCAAAACCAAGGAAGACATTTCTTAATTTGGCGGAATCCTACTTGTCCTTAAGAAGGTTAAAACAATTCAGGAGTTATGAAACCTGCATGAATGTAACACCTCAAATGTTTAATAAATAAGGGTGAATAAATAGGTTCGGCTTAAAATTCACAATTAATAGAATTTAAGCTGGGTGTAGTGGCAAATGTCTGTAATCCCAGCGCTTGGGAGACTAAGGCAGGAGGATCGAAGTTAGTTCAAGGCCAGCCTCTCCTACATAGTGAGAACCTGACTCCAAAAAAAAAAAAAGATTTCTATCAAGATCGATGGAAAAAAAATACTTTTTACTTTAGAGAAGTTCGATTCTTATTTTCAAACTTTTCAATACTGTACTTAAAAGATTTACGTTTAAGTCACTAAGTTTTAACTTGGAATTCAACTTAGTCTTGATAATACCTACTTAATGAGCTGCAATTCAAACGAGGTGATCCTTCCGTCTTTGAATTCTGCACTAGAGGAGTCCATAACTTATGATGACACAGGCTGACGAAAAGGCACTATGGTTTGTGGAAACTGCCTTCCCCTCCCTTGGGACTTTCTGAGAGTAATCAGCAGGTGGATTGCTTTTTTTTTCCTTTCCCAGAAAGTTACTCACAGTTGCGGGTACCAAGGGTCAAGTAAAACCTCCTGATTTAAGGGACACAAACGGAGCGTGTCCAGGGAAGCCGCAAGCACAGCTATCAAAGGGCAGGTGTACGACTGTCAGACGCCTTCGCGGTGGAATAAACATTACCCCCACGGTTTCGGGGTGAATGACCATTTTTACTAGGCTAACTTTCCAAAGAACCTGGCTTCTCATTTGCAGCAGGACCTGCTGGACGGCGGCCTGGGCCCCTTTCCCAGGACAGCGGCTGGCCGCGCGGCACTGTTGAGACCCGCGCCCGAAGG